ATGTTATGTTAAATGTTATTCTCCCGTGGTCATGTGATCTCGCAAACCAGCGGCGCGCCGGATCAGATACGGACCACGAACGCGTCCAGTGTGAATTGGCGGACGGCCTCGGACGGAATGGGAACGCAGCGCATTCGCACCGCAGCGGATACGCATCCAGTGTAAATCAGGGGTGACGTCTAGCATGCACGTATGGGCAGTGTCTCGTAGTGCAGTCTGACTTGGCGGATTGTCCCATGGCAGCACGTTGAGTGCCACTGAAGGTATATTCGTCCAAAACAAACCAATATTCAATCATTAGCAATTTAAGTGTTAATGGGAGTTCTGTTCTTAATCGTCACTTTGTCTTGTTGTATTTATTAGCCTATATTAATGGAAACATAACATGTGGGAAGATGTGAACGTGACTTCTACTGTTACTTAATGACAAAAAAAAGAAATTATGGCAATGAAATGCTATTGTTTTTCATCCAAAGACACTCCCCCTAGTGATACATGTCGGATACTTCAGATTGTCACGCTGTGGGGGAAATACGATGTCTGGAAGCGCCCTTTCACAACGCTGTAAGCATTACACTGCTGAGAGAACGTGAATACAATATCTACCATTCATTAATAAAAAAAAGATTGAAAACTTTATGTCTAACGAATGCTATTATAGGTATTCCAAAGACACTCCCCCTAGTGGTACATGCCGGTTACTTCAAATTGTCACGTTGTTTTAAGAAATGGGACGTCCAGTTGGCAAATGTAATGCAGTATAACATAAACAATATGGCTATATGCATATGGATTTCAATTCAATTCAACTTTATATGGCGTCTTTCACAACAGAGTCGTCCCAAGGCGCTTGACATGGATGTGTTGTAATACATTACAACATCATTAGACAGAGTAATACATAATGGCAAGTAAGTCACTGTGTGTGTGTGTCTATGTGTGTGTCTGTACATCTGTCCCTACACTGACAGCCACAATAAAACTTGCTGTACTAGCTTGACACAATAGCTTTCACACATGCTAGTGATGCTTGTTAGAAGCTAAAAAAACACTAATTATTCTGAAGTAACTGGCATGTACCACTAGGGGGAGCATCTTTGGATGAAAAACAATAGCATATCATTGCCATAACTTCTTTGTTTTGTCATTAAGTAACAGTAGAAATCATGTTCACATCTTCCCACGTGTTATGTTTCCATTAATATAGCCGAATAAATATGACAAGACAAAGTGACGATTAAGAACAAAACTCCCATTAACACTTAAATTGCTAATGATTGAATATTGGTTTGTTTTGGACGAATATACTGTACCTAAAGTGGCACTCAACGTGCTACCACGAGACAATCCGCCAAGTAAGACTGCACTACGAGACACTGCCGGCGTAGTAACGAGACACTGCCCATACGTGCATGCCAGTCTTAACAGTACACTTCTGCGCTCTCCTGTGACAGTGCAGCGCTGTCCTGTGACAGTGCTGCCGTAGTCACGAGACACTGCCTGTATGTGCGTGACACTGCCATGGAAAACGTAACAGTACAGTACACTTTGTGCTGTAACAGCTGCTGCCCCTTTTTTCAAAACACTTTGCACAGTTAACCCAACCGCACACTAATTATACACTAATTTATAAAAAGGATATTTTGTCCCCATAACAAAAATCACATTGCTCATATAATCCAACTCTTTTTTTAACCTGTTACACACTGATGTGCAAAATTTAAAACACTTTTAGCCCTTTTACTTTCCTCATGATTACTGTAAGTGAGGTATACAGAGAAAGAACAAAATAAATTCACCATGTTGTTGTGTCCGTAAAGTAACACACAGATTGCATACTATTAAAAGAATAAGATAGATGGAGACCAAGTTGTGTTGTTAGAACTGAACTTTTTCAATCATACAACAATCGCACACTTCCCAGAAACTTCATCTGTAGGGAGGGGCCTTGCCATTTTTATAACTCCCTCGTGACGTTTTGAATCCTGGGAGTTGTAGAGAACAAACGCAAACACAACACATGTCACTCCAAGGGTACTGTCCAATCACGAACAAGAAGTTTGGTCCTATTCTTTCTGTTTTCTGAAATGTCATTGTGTTTCTTGAAATGTCGTTGTGTTTCTTGAAATTTCGTTGTGTTTTCTGTAATGTCGTTGTGTTTTTTGAAATGTCATTGTGTTTTCTGAAATATTGTTGTGTTTTGACCTTCAGGACCACCGTGCTACTGGCTTGCATTCACATTCTCCGAGTACTACTTACTTTAAGGGACAATGCGCCAAGATGGCAGTGCGATGCGATTCTGCAATGCTTTTGAATCCCTCCTATACACAGGGTTGCCATCTCTCACACATCTGGTGTGACAGTCACGCTTTCAAACTCTCACGCTCACACAAGCAATATTACGGTAAATCTATATTATTCCATTATAAACCTAAAATTAGCTATCTCAAAAGCATTGGGGTAGTTTGCAAACCCTACAGACCATTTACAAGGTAATAAAATTGTTACATACAAGTAAATGCGTGTGCAGACTTGTATCAAATTGAAAATCTCACGCCAGCCACCTGACCTAAGTTGGAAATCCTGTATACAAGATTAGTTGAATGAACTTTACTTGAAAATAATGAGTAAACTGTGCTTTTCTCCATTGAAGCAACAGCAACTCGATAAAATCTAGTAAGAATTGCAAAAACTTAAACTTAAGTAAAGTCAACAAATGTATTTAGTATGTATTTGAGATAACTATTAGTATTTACAGTGTGTTATCTACTGCATATTAACACCTACTGTGTTTGAGAGTATCCATATGGCACAATGGTGAAGTGTTTCCAGAGAAAGTGAGCAGTGAATCATGTTGGTTGCATGATGGTGCAGTAGTTCGTGCTGTTCCCCCATGTCCTCGTGGGGTTTCCTCTGGATTCCCCCCACAGTCTAAAAACAAACTAAGGTGAATTTGAGTAAAGAAAATTCCCTGTAGGTGTGAATGGTGTGTGTGCCCTGCAATGGGTTGGTGCCCCACCCAGAGTTTTTCCCCACTTTGTGCCGCTAGCTTCCGGGATAGGCTCTGGTCACTGGATGGATGAAAAGACAATTCCCTCTCTTATAAAGACATATTTAGAATAGGCTACGTCAGGAGCACAGCACATGAAAAGCAACATATTGCCACGTGGATATATATTACACATCTGAGTCTGGGAGCTTTCTGAAATCTTTCTACAGGTTTTCCCTCCCACCAGTGTCTCATCTTACTGTGCACTACAAATCTGTCTCATTTGGATAATCATTTACATTCCACACTGATGCTACGGCTGGGAAGATATCAGTACAGACTCCTTCCTGTGAAATATCTCACCTCACACTCTGTGAGTGCCAGGGTGGAGTTACGTGTGAGTCAGTGCACCATCTGTGGACTGGATATACAGGGTATGTGCAGAGCGATCAGTTCCTCGCATCTCCAGTGGGATTTGCAATGGCAGATCAGGGAACATTTGCATGACCCTGAAGGGGTACATATTTGATTTGTTCAAAGGGAAAGATAAGTTGTTCTTGATGATCTTCAGCTTTCTTGTGAAGTTCCCATACCCATATCCTAATATTTTGAATGCTATATTACATGCTAAGATCTTTATTGATTCCCCATGCAACCATGTCATTAGTAAAGAATTATTAAAGTATTTTCTTATCATGTTTCTTGTATAGTGTTCCTGAAGAAACATAAAGATGCTCCAATTCTGGGTTGTAAAGTTGGAAAACTTGGTAACACCTTACTTGAGGGGGCACAAGTAACTTAGTAACTCACTACTTAAGTATAAATTATGAACAAATATAGTAACTGCAAGAAATACATGAACTGTTATGATTGATTAATGATGATGAACATGGGATCAGTACCTAGTTTAGCTTCTGGTTAATTAATTCATTAAGTAAGCGTGTACTAGTACATTATTTGTGTCCCCTCAAGTAAAGCGTTACCAAAAACTTTGCAGGATTTGTTCCAGCTGGAAGCAGAACCATCTGATTTAAATGGTACAGCTATGTGCAGCTCAGCAGATAAGTTTCAGGGTTTAAACTCCGTAGGTACAGGATAAGGTTGCAAAATTCTGGGAATTTTCAATTGGACACTTTCCATGGGAATTACCAGGAATACATAGGAATTAATAGGAATAAACTGGAAATTTGCTAAATTGCAGGTTAGCCTATAACAGGGAACTTAAAAGTAATTGAAAAAAGCATTTTGCAATATGATCTTGGTTAAAACAACCAGATGAACCAGTTGAATTTCTACCCTGCACTGTGCATTCCTCCATCACATGCACAGACCATTTCTAGAATCATGCACACTATAGCAGGACTATTGAAGCCACACTACTGCATTTGAGCTCAGGACTACATGCAGTCAAGTTTTGATGGTATTACTAGGGTAAATATATTTGATCTATATTAATAAAGTTTAACTAGCAAATATTAAGCAGCGTGTGGCTCAGTGGCCTGTGCCTGTAATCAGAAGGTTGCCGGTTCAAACTCAGCCTTAGCACGTCTGCGGGTCCTTGAGCAAGGACCTTAACCCCCAGCTCCCTGGGCACTACTACGGGTGGCTGCCCTTCGCGGACAACTTACTCTACAAAGAGGAAGCTGAGGGAGGCGTAAAAACAATTTCTCCATGGGGACAATAAACTATCAATTATAAATGTGTTTATACAGTAGCTAACTAGCCAGTAAATCAGATCTGCTAAATGTAAGCTAGCTAATACCATTTCATTGACAATTCAGCCTTTGGCACCCAATCGCTGTACAATGCATTGATTGAATTTAAAAACAATAACTCATAAACCCTTTGACACACAGAAATCATACCCATGCCATCAGAATCGCAAGACGCTGAACTTTAAGGCAGTAATCTTGATAACATTGTAACCAAGTGCTTGTGAGTAACTGTGTACACAAAATAAACATCTGCATCAAAACGTACGGCTTCTACAACATTTTCTACATTGTATTATTCATAGAATTTGCTTTCTTTGCTGTATCTGACAGCTAGTGTGAGTTCCAACAGCCCGACTCAACTCATTAATTATAGACAAAACACCTGTTATAGCCTATAAATAACAGCAAAACGCAGCATTCTATTCATTAGGAAGTCATTTACTTCATATTTTTGCAGTATTAATTCACAAAAGTTTGCATGTGCCTGTCTGATGTCGAGTTGAATATTTCCAAAATTCCCCAGCTTAACTTCCCATGTAAAGTTTCCAGAATTTCTCCACCCTTTTGCAAACCTAGTACAGGTTATCAATATATATATTATGGCAATTCATCTGAAAAATGCCTTAAGGAACTCATGCAACATTTCATTGTTAGATTGAATGACAGAGTGAAGTATGTGGTCTCTATCTGACTGCACAGTGTAATAGAGAGCATTCAGACACAGGCTGCAAGCACACAATAGTATCACCTTTAGCAGATTGCTAAGCAGATTGGGACTCCTCTTTCCTCAAAGCTGATGAACTGGAAAGCATTGTCTCCTGACACTTGGCTAATACTGACCCGTTGTTGTATGAGCAGGGCAGATGGGAGTCCTGCAGAGGAGACTGCTGGGCATCTATATAGACAAAGAGCACTGGAAACGAAACACCGAAAGCCAAAGTAAACTGGAGACGCCGCATCATGCGACCACAGCACAGCAGCATGGCATCAGTATTAACACGTGGGAATAATATATGGGAATCTTAAATATTCCTCTAAGGGGAGTTATGCTGCACTCTAAAGAGGAAATTTAGTTTATACTCAGTAAGCTACAGTAAGAGCTTCACACTTTTAATGGAAGAATTCAATTGGATTCATTCACCCCCCCCATAGACCTTTGTATTTGAATGATGAAGTCATATCCTGTTCAGTATCAAATTCTCTCCTGCGCCGTTGTATTAATGTGTTATTTCATGTACTGCGTGTATGTACATTGCTTTAATAAGTAATGTGCATTATGATGATGAATATGGCTTAATACATTTAACATGCAGGTACTTCAGATTCAGTCAATGCTACTAAAGCCTGCAAGGACACAGGCGATGCCTGTCTGTTTCCTGATGTTCGGGCAGTGTGACTTTTGTGTTTTCCTTGACAGAGAAATAAAAATCCTGCTGACTGAAGTTAGCTGAATGGTGCAAAGTCGAGGGAAGCATATCCTTTACACTCCCAAGATTACTTTAAATTCATGCAAAGATTGTGCCAAGAATCTATCCTGTAAAGTAAATCCTGACCATTAGCATGTCATATATCCCAACCAGAGCATGTGAGCGGAGTGGAGCGGTGAGAATTTCCGCTTCTCGCTCACGAGGCTGTTGGCTCCGCCCGCTCCTCCGCTCTAATTCTCACTAAGTCGCTCCGCTCAACACCGCTCCTCGCTCCACTAAAATTTCCTCCCGCTCCAGTCAAATCGCTCCACGCTCGCTCAAATTTAAAAGAGGGACAAATAATCTGAATGCCTAACAAATATCACCTTAAACCGATGCCTTATATCATAAAGTAATGTGAGCAACGGCACTCAGAACAGAAAATATTTATTTTTAAACAACATATAGGCAACGATGGACAGGTTTGGCAATGGCATTCCACACAAAATAGGCT